AGGAGCAAGATTACTAGATCATAGGATAAAAGTATGTTTAGTTTTGTATGAAACCACCAAACTCTCTTCTAAAGTAGCTGTAACATTTTGCATTTCCGCTAGCACTAAATGAGAGTTCCTATTGCTCCACATCCTTTCCAGCATTTGGTGTTGTCAGTATTCTTCCAGTATTCTGGATTTTGATCATTTTAGTAGTTGTGAAGTAGTATTTTGTTTTAATTTGAATTTCTTTTGATAGTAAGCAGTGAAGGTGGGCATGCCTCTTAATCTTTGTACTTTTTTAATGGCCTAGATAGTGCTATGTACATTTTAGGCATATAATTGCTTGCTAGAATAATGTGTGGTCTATATAATGACCCACAAACACATGCAGTAACTTTTAAATCTCAAGTTTACTCAGTGGGGGATTATAAAAATATATTTTACATATATGTACTATAGCTATGACAAATTAGATATCCATACATATATGTGCATATATACCTATGGACATATATGACTATATAGCATGCTAATAATTCTTTATTTGAAAATTTAAAATTATGTTAATGGAATGTGCTTTTAAATTTGGAGTAAACTTTAATGGTCATTTTCAGAATCTACTTTTGCTTTAGTTACCAACTTTATTTTCTAAATCTGCATATATTATTCAGTATCTAATAAACTATTGACATCTAGTAAACTATTTCCCTTTATATTTTTGATAATCTTTTTTGATAAAAGCTATAAAATTATTTTGTAAATATATTGGAGGCACTGAATAATGTTAGAACTGACTCAGAATACCTTCTATTGACCTTAAGTTTTCTAAAACACTAAGGCATTTTCAGAAATCTTTGTTAGCTATCCTCAGAGAAGAAGTTGACTTTGGGCCAATATGGCCTATTACAGAGGGATCGTGGATTCTCAGCCCCTGGCTAACTTTGAACATGATATATGTTCTGAAAAATGCAGAGATGATGAGGCAAATAGAAGTCTAAGCTAGGTATATAGTGAGCAGTGACTAACAAATGGGAAAGAAAAAGCAAGCAAGCAAGAAAGCAAGCAAGCAAGAAAAGAAAGAAAGGAAGGAAGGAAGGAAGGATGGAGGGAGGGAGGGAGGAAGAAAGGAAGGAAAGGAAGGAAGGAAGGAAGGAAGGAAGGAAGGAAGGAAGGAAGGAAGGAAGGAAGGAAGGAAAGAAAGAAAGAAAGAAAGAAAGAAAGAAAGAAAGAAAGAAAGAAAGAAAGAAAGAAAGAGAAAAGGAAAGGAAAGAAAAGAAAGAAGAAAAGGAAAGAAAAGAAAAGAATAAAAGAGAGAGAGAACCACATTAATTATGTTCTACTCTTACCAAGTAAGCTATATATTTTGGTCCACAGAAAAATAAAAGCAATATAACACTGGGTTTGAAATAAGAATATATGGGTTCTAGTTGCTGCTTTACCTTTCTCAGCTTTTGGGCCAAAACAAATTAAATAAGCTCTCTGAGTCTTATTTATATTAGTTGTCAAAGAAAATAAGCATTATAAATAAGAAAAGATAATTAAAATAAATTTGTAAAGCTATTGATTGCTATAGCAATACAATTATTTTTATTGTAATGCATCGTTCATTTTAAGTATTAAGTGATAAAATTAATTGAAAAAAACATTGAAGGAAATCAAATATTTTTTTCTAAATGAGGAAATCTCTTGGTATACTCATTTTATAAATGGTACTTTAAAAATAAGAATGTGACCTCTTCCATCTCTCTGTAAAGCATAAGATATATTAGAAAGCTAGGAAGAACAAGACTGCCTTGGTTTCTTGTAGGAGAGCAGTAAAACCTAAAAGGAAAAAGGCAGAAAACTTAGAAAATTCACACAAAAAAACAATATGGATTGCTTGAGATGGCTGGCATGCTGTAAGTATACTGGTTCTGGTACTATTTGACAGATAGAAAAGGAAGACAATTCTACCTTGGAGCTGTTTAAAATTGTGCAACAGCAACACAAAACATACAACGATAACAGACAATATAAACAAGTTCTATTTTTAAAGCTCTTACTATATGCTTACTGTATAAAGCATCACATGCTTTACATACATTTTTAGTCATTTCTTCTTCATTAAAATTCTATAAGACAGATATCATTCTTCCTATTTTTCAGATAGTAAACTAATTCTTAGAAGTCAAATAATTTACCAAAGGTTACACAACTTACATTTAATAGTGACACTGGGATTTTAAACCTGAGCTTATCTGATTTTAAAGAATACCTGTTACAAATATAGCAACATTAAAAGCGAAATATCTAGAAAAGTTCAAAGGCTCAAAGAGTTTTATAGCTGCAGCCCATAAAATATTCTCTAGATTTAGCTTGCAAAGCTAAAAGAAACACTTTAGCTTTAATAAAGTGAAAAGTTTTTGAAAGAGAAACAGGGAAAACCCCGGAAATGGGGGAAGAACTGTCAAAATACCAAAGCCATGAGTGGTTGGCCCAGGGCCATGGAGGCCTGGGACCCAACGACTTTGAAGGTTAAAAGATTTCCAGGAAAAATAGACTATGCCAAGTTTTTAGTAAAGCAACTATTAAGAGTAGGTTTCTTATAAACTGAACCATGTGCCTAGAATCTAGAGACTTTAATGTCTCACCTCAGTTGATTCTTTTCTACAGCTCTGTGCAGTTGCAATTTTAGAGAACGTTTTTATTAAACACTTATTTTATGCCAGTATTGTTCTAAATTCTCTACATTTAATCCTGAAGATAATTTTACAAGACAGGTACTTCCATCATCATTCCCATTTTAAGGACAAGGAAATTAAGTCATGATTCAAATCCAGGCAAATTAACATCAGCGCCTACACTCTTAACTATTATGTTATGCTGATGTTATACTAAACTAGTAACTACAATAATTAGGAAAGTAGCATTCTGTTACCTAATGAAAATTATTTCTCTAAAGCAGTTTGTTTAAATTGTCACTTAGTAAATTGATTTAGAGATCAGTAGTGTCTGCAGTGATGTTACTTACTGACAACTAATTGGAATTACAGTGAGGATAGCCTTATTTCAATTTTTTTAGAAAATGTGTTAAAAATGAACTATATATAATGATCTTGTATACTCTATACTACATAATTCCATGTTACATAAGTGAAAGATTAAGCATGGATATTTCAGGATAGTTGCTGATTTATTCAGATTTTTATGTTTTAATAGTCAGATGATACATTATTAACAGAAACTTTGATATTCTGTAAAGACATAAGGCAATTTTGGGGGAGGATTTTCATAATTTTATTGAAGGGAATTATAGAACTTAAAAACATTTTAAAGATTCTCCCTACTGTGTAGTTTTTTTTAAAAAAATTATTGACTCTATTTTAAACATTGCAAAATCTGACACATACTACTATTTACCACTGTACAGGAAAAGTTATAATAATTGGGACTTTTAAGAGAAAGAATTTTTTTTATTGTTGTTCAAGTACAGTTATGACCATTTTCCCACCATCGCTTTCCCCACTCCACCCACCCCCACCTCCCACCCTCAATCCTATTCCTCTTTGGTTTTGTCCATGGGTCCTTTATACATGTTCCTTGATGACCCTTTAATTTTGTTTTATTTGGTCTGGTTCTTTTTACTTCTGCTGCCCCAAAAGTGATATCATATGAGTTTGCAATATCCAGTGCTTACAATGGATATGGTATTATTCATCACTATGTGTGACACAGATGGATTCTCTCCAAAATGTAATATATATATTTAAAGTTGATGTAATTAATACATTGTACTAATAATGTAAACAATTTATATTAAGTGAATAAATCTAAAATATTTTTTAACCATATTGACTAGAGCAACCTTTTAGTGTCCAAATTCTATTGTCAGTTAAGAAAATTCAAGCAATCTAAGAACTTTAAAGCCTGATAAATACTTTTAAATTAGACATATTAAAATGACCTCAAAAACAAATTAACATTTGTCAAAATGAACTTTCATGCATTGATGAATTTAAATGACTGGGATCTGCTTATGAAGTACCTATATGAAAAATGAAAATCGAAGAATCATTTTGAAGTTTTCATTTATCTGAAGAGTACCATCTGGATCATTGACTTTTTTACATTCAGTCAAATATTGACTTTATACATACATAACTATAATATCAATGAGTAGTACATCTTTTTCAAGAATAACAGTATTTATAATGAAGTGTAACTTAAGGTGCTGACTACTGAGATTCAGTATGTTTTGGGGAAATTAACAAAATATATCAAATAAAACATATATTATGCTAATGTACCATAACATTTTAATAAACATTGTGAAATTTTTAGTGCTTACACCTTAAGTGAAGAGTTTGAAAAAATTAGGCTAAATTACCCCTAAATACCATAAGATATAGATACTTTTTAAGTGTTTACATTTTTTTTCATTTTTTCCATGTTTACATTTAACTGCAGTGCAATTCTTATTGAAGCCATGATAAAGGTAATAGATGTGTGTGACAGATTTATAAATGAATAAAGCCATCATTGATAAATATAAACCATCATCTGTTTAATGGAAATAATTTTTTAAAGCATGGTTTTGATGGTATAATATTATCTAAAATCTGTTATTTTTTAAAAGATTCCTTTAAAAATTAACTTTATCTAAACATCTATTAAATCAATGACAGAAGTCCAAAATACACTACTTTGATATATAAATCCAACTTTTTACAATTAGCCTAAAAAAATTCTTTTAGAAGTAAATGATCAAAGAATTCAATATGATCCATCAGGGGGTGGGAGACTAGACCACTGAGTCACAGAATATAATTAAAATAGCTGTGCTGTTAATTTTAGATATAATTTAATTTCATTTATATCAAAAGAAGACATTTAAGGAAAGAAAAATTCAAATACACATTTTTGGGCAGTTCTGGTTGCTGGCATTCTACCCCCTATATGTAAAAGAATGCTTGTTGGCATTAGGTTCCGTCAATTCATTTGTGATTTCTAAATTAATTCTGAAGGAAACCACAACTTACTTGAAGATCCCGCTGAGTGTCTGTGTGCCTGATTTTTTTTCTCTCTCTTCACAGACAAAGCATTTCCACTGGTCATGGAAAAAAGGTCTAAATCCGTGTCTTCTCTGCTTACAAGTCTTGCCTGGGAGCAATGGGAGAGAATGTATACAATCATGAAACAAAATATGGCATTTTCTGAATGCAGCTCACATTACACCAAATAAACAAACAGGCTCTGTCAAACAACCTTCTTCAAAATGATACCACAATCCTTTATTGCTGCCTAGGCAGAACAAATGCACTATGTCAAAGCATTTTTCGCAAATAAGAGCCGATTTTAAAATTGAGGTTTGCTATTTGAGTCTGTACAACAAAAGAAAACATTTTAGTACAGTAATTTTGATGAAAATCAACCTTAAAGGCAACTGATGAAACTTTATGCAGTTTAACATCACTTATTTACCAAGAATATTATTTAATTCTTAATCAAATGTTAGAAATGTCATATTGGATTATTTTCTGCAATATTTATATTTAACACTTATAAGTATTAGTTTTCTCAATAATATTTCCTGAAATGTCTTTCATCCTATATTTGTATACTGTAGAGTCACAAAAGATTTCTATTTTCTCATTACAACAATTATTAATATAAAAATGCTATGCATTAAATCTAATTTGGAGTTAATGGTAAATATATAAAAATTCCAAAATCTATTAAGGACATAAGAATTAGATAATTTATTTAATCTCAAATTACCATCTGAACATTTATTGCTACTGTAGACTGAACCTAAGAGTGAAAGAATAGCTTCTTGCCTATAAAATATTGTTTTACAGGACGTCTAATATCATTAAGTAAAGATTTATCAGGATTCAGCCATGATGTGGGGAAAAATGCAGTATGGAAAGCAAAGTAGCTTCAAAATAGCTGGGATTTCACCCAAACCACAGGATGTTTGAAATCCTGTGAGAAAGCATTGTCTTTAATGTTAGATGTAAGAAAAAATTAAGTAAAGCCAAATAAAGCCATAAAATCATCATTGTGGTTAAAAAGCTGTCCCTATGTGATGAGCTAGAAAAACTCATGAAACTAGCATCTAAAGATCATCTTTCAAGTTTAGATGTTTGCTTTTCTCTTTTACATCCCCTTCCCACTTCGTCTACCCTTACATACATGAACTTGTCATTGTTAAGTAAGAGAGTTTGTTATTGCTGAACTCAGAATAGAAACCATTCTATAATGTCAGTCACTTTTTCTTGTACCAGACTAGGTAATACAATTGCATTGTCAAAAAACTTCAGTAGAAAACTGTTCAAAATGAAATAAGGAACAATTGGTTTTCATTATACACTTGTGATTAGTATAAAAAGTGTTATACATTCTTCCTGAATTTTATTTCAACTAGTGCAATAGAGTATATGTCTAATATTCCCATTAGAATAGTTCCATCAATACTAAGATTTTAAAAAAAAGTCAAGAATAAGAGGGAAATACCAAAGAAACACTACAGTTTTGGTGAGACCAGTTACAAAACAAGGAAAAAGATGCTAAGCACGTAGGGGATCTGCCTGCTGCCCAAAGAGGCTTAACTATAAGTCTCGAGATTTTAAAATCAGATTTTATTTGCTTCAATTTGATGACATAAATTAAGTACGCCTAAATAGGAAGTAGAAATCTATCTCCCCAATTAAGACAATATTTACATATCAAGAAAATATTTGTGAATACATGCCTTCCAAAAATCTCTTTATTATCTAAGCCATTTACCCTCAAAAGAGTGCTTCTTTTGAGAGAGAAAACAATTAATGTCATTTTTAATTAAGTCAGATTATAACAGGGATACAAATTTAAAAGTGAGATTTAACAGGAGTACATGTTTTCATAATGGTGCCACCTAGCAGCTTAGGTGCAAACCTAGACATTTTATCAAGGATCCATTAATCCAGTGCATCTGATGCAGCCATGTATGCATTAATATTCAGATTTTATTTTTGAAAAATTAGTTTTCAAATTGAACATCATTCCTCCCATTTTTGTTTATAAATAAAAAACATCTTTTAAGTTATGCACAATGGATATACTTAAAAAACTGAATATAACTGCTCATGCTTTTAAACTTATTCTATAAAAATGTATATTTAATTCTAAAACACTGTAATAGTAAACATTTTGTACGGTTATAACATCATTTTAATTAATGTCAGATAATTTTCTATGTGCAATTCAATAAAAATATTTATTAAATAGTAATTTTACAAAATTATTTTTGGTTTTTATTTTTTGAACAGGCTACCTTTGTAGCCTCATCTACAAGGTTTGTGATACCTTTTCTCCATATTTTCACAATAAAATGAGGAGTACAAATTTTGGAACATGAGTTTTAAGCATCTGGATTATGATTCACCTCTAACACAAGCAACTTACTTAAAAATAGAGACTCTCCCTCATTTATAGAAAACAAGGAGTTCTTCTTTCTTCATATTTTTAAAAAGCTCTCCTTTTTATTGAATATTAATTCTAAAATTCTGTATTTTTAGAAGTTAAGACATAGCAAACAGCATATATAAAAATAGCTATTTACTTATTATCCAGATATTTCTTAAAAAGAGATAAAATATTATGAAGTTCACTTATAAGCTGTCTTGTAGTATTTCTACATAAAATTATTAAAAAAATAGAATATTTCTAGACATATGAATGATTTAAAACCATTTTTATCGCTGGATGCAGAAAGCTGAAGTATGCGTACTACTCCACTCATCATTGCGCAAGCCCCTGTTCTTATATAACAAGGCAGAGGCCTTGTTATATGATATTTGAGGTCATGGAAGACACTTTAAATATTTTACAGAGCTATAATTTACATGCAATGAAATGCACACATCTTAGACATGAATTTCAATCACATAAAAATTTATTTTAAATAAGTTAAACTTCTCATACAAATTGCAATTGCTACTGAGAATTCTCTATATATCCTCCACCCAGCATGCCCCAAAGAAATATAACCAAAGTGTGATAATTAAATCCAAGAAGGTGATATAGGTGCAATGCTATTACTAAACCACACATCAGTTTTAAGACTTCACCAATTTTCACGTGTAAACATATTTTTTTGGTTTGCCTATACATCTATGACATTTTATTGCATGCATTAATTTATATAACTACCACGGCAATCAAGCTACAAGACTGCTCCATCTTCTCAAAGAAACTCCCTGTAGTCATACCCTCTCCCCAGCCTAACCAATGGTAACCACTAATATGTTCTCCATCACTATAATTATATGTTTTTGAGAATGTTATTTATGTAAACGAAATCATACAGTATGTAACCTTTAGAGATTTTTTTTTACTCAGCATAATGCTCTTTAGATCCATCAGTCTTCATATGTATTAAGAATTTGTTCTTGTTTGTTGTGTTTTATCAATTTTTATTGTATGGGGTCTGTCCAGAAGGTATCCAGCCATGTTATATGAAAAATAGAGACATTTATTAAAGAAGATACAAGATACAAGAAACATTGTACATAGGACAATGATGTCTCAGTTCCCTTCAAAGTAGGCACCCTGTGACCTCACACAGTTCTCCCAATTGCCATCAGCTGCCCCATCATGTTTTCCTGAAATCTCATTGATGGCCTAAAATTTCTTCCCTTTCAAAGGTGATTTTAGTTTTGAGAAAAGCCAGAAGTCGCAAAGCGCCAAATCTGGGCTATAGGGGGTCTGAGTTACCTAGATGATTTGAAGTTTCGTGAAAAAACTCTGCATGAGACGTGATGCATGAGAGGGTGTGTTGTCATGATGAGGCTGCCAGTCACCAGTTGCCCAAAGCTGCAGCCTTCTGAATCATCTCAATAGTTCCCACATAAGAATATTGAAATCTAATGCAAAATCTAATGCAGATTTGTTGCAATACTAGCTCAGTCATTTTGAATGAGAGGGCCACACAGTACACATGCTCACTCAACAGTTCTACTGCCCCCACTGACTAGTATAGTAAAGACATCATTGTTCACACATGTGCATTCCAGTCCACTCTCCTTGGCTGCCAGGTTACAAGGATGTCTTGTAAAACATTCTCATTATATTAACAGTGGCTGGACTTTTTCCACACAGCTCTCGTATATCTGTTGTTTGTATGTACCACCATTTGGTTACATTTTCACTTACTGAATAAGATTTGAGTTATTTCCAATTTTTGGCTATTACAAATAAAACTACTATGAACATTTATGTATAGGTTTTTGGTTAAACATAAGTTCATTTTCCTCGGAAAACTTCTCAGGAGCGAAATTATTGATGCCACTCTCCATAGCAATGTAAGAGAGATCCAATTGCTCCACATATTCATCAGCACTTGGTATTGTCAGTGTTTTATTTTAACCACTATAATAGCTGTATTGTGGTATCATACAGTGGCTTTCACAATTTCTCTAGTGATTAGTGATGTTTAAAATGTTTTCATGTATTATTTCTATTTAAATATTCTCTTTGGTGAAATATCTGCTCAACTTCTTTGCTCATTTTTTTAAGGTTTCAAATGTACTTTATTTCTTCAATCATGCCATATTTTAATGGGTACACAGTGCTTTCTTTTGTTGTTGTTGTTGTTGTTGACACTACTATAGGTGTTCCCCATTCCCCCCCTTTGCCCACCTCCTTTTTATTTCAATTATTTATTACAGATAACTATGATGGCAATTAATTTTATGTGATAGCTTGACTAGGCCACAGGGTACCCAGACATCTTTGGTTGAACATTATTTCTGGGTTTGTCTGTGAGGGTGTTTCTGGATGACATTAGCATGTGAATCACCAAGCTGAGTACACCAGATTTTCCTCCCCAACGTGGGCCTGCATAGAAGAAAATGGTAGAAAAGGGGAGAATTCATTCTCTCTGTTTGACCAAAGAGGCTGGGGCATAAGTCTTCTCCTTTCTTAAGACTGGAACTTACATCATTGCTTCTTTTGGGTCCTAGGCCCTCAGATTCAGACTAGAACTATACCACAAGGTTCTCCTACGTCTCTAGCTTGCGGACAGGAGATCATGGGACTTAGCTTCCATAATCAAATGAACTACTTCATTTTAATAAATAATATATAATTCCTTATAATTAATAAATATACCTATAAAATCCCCCTTCTAATATAGACAGAGAGATAGATAAATAGATAGTGTTTCTCAAGTTGGGTGGATAAATAGACCAAAGAGAGATGATGGTTTAAGTTCCATTCTGAATCCAAGAGTCTTGAAATCGGAAAGTGTAAGTCTTACTGTTCTTTTTCAAGATTGCATTGGCTATTCTAAGGTCCTGTTTACACATATACAAAGAGAAAGTTATATATGTGTGTGTGTGTGTGTGTGTGTGTGTGTGTGTGTGTGTGTGTGTGTGAGAGAGAGAGAGAGAGAGAGAGAAAGAAAGAAGAGAGAGGGAGAGAGATAGCCCATTGGTTCTGTTTCTCTGGGAAACCCTGACTAATAGGATTATCAAATAGTTCATTTGTGCCTCCTTCCAGTAATTTATCTTCAGAAGCAACTTCTGTGTTACTGTTCTGATTTTTATCACCATTGAATGGCTTAGTTTTCTCTGATCTTAAAGTATGTGGTTTTCTGTATCTGCTTCTTTCATTCACTGTATTGTTTTTGATATTCACCTATGTTGCCCAGTGTGTATCAGGAGGTAATTTCTTTTCATTTCTGAGTAGGTATGTCATTGTAATAATATACCACAATTTATCCATTCTTCTGTTGATAAACATTTAGACTGCTTGCATTTTATGACCTTTATCAGTAGAGCTGCTATGTAATTTTCCTATAGGTCTTTACATGGACATTTGTTTTCATTTCCCTTGGGCAAACATCTAGAAGTAGAATTAATGGGATTATACATAAAATAGAAGTATATATAATTTTATATAAAACTGTCTATTTTTCAAAACGGTCTTATTGTTTTTCACTATACATATAATGTATGAGAATTTTAGTTGTTTTATATCTTTGCCCACATTTGTGTTTTCTGGCTTTTAAATTTTAACCATATTAGTGTGGTGTAGTAGTATCTCATTGCATTTTAATTTGTTAATTATTTTATTCTATTTTTTTCCATTACCATGTATCCTTTGGAGATAGTATGCTAAATGAAGGAAGCCAGTCATTGCTGTTTTAATTTAAATTAATGTGCTTATTAACTACTCATATATCTTCCTTTGTGAAGTTTCAAATATTTTTCAATTTTTTAATGACTTTGAGTGTTCGTCTTTATATTATTGATTTTAGGAGTTTAAAAATATATGGATACAAGTGCTTTGTTAGATGTGTATATGTGGGGGAAGGATTCTTAGCACAAGGAGGATTAGGGGGAAGAAGGAGAGGGAAAGAAAAGGAGAGGAAGAGGGAGAGAAAGAATATGAATTTTTCTTCCAAGATGTGGTCTGCATTTTTATTTCTTTTCATTGTCTGAATGAGTCTTTCTAAGTGCAAATATGTTTAAATTTAATGAGTATAATTTATATTTTTATTTTTTGGTTTATGATTTCTGTGTTCTTAAAAATTCTTTGCTAATACCATGTTTATGAAAATATCTTATTATGTTTTCTTTGAGAAGTTTGAGAATTTTAGCTTTTACATTTGGGCCTATAATTCATCTCAAATTCATTTCCAAGTATGATGTTAAGTAGAAATAAAGATTCACTTTTTTCCTTGTAGATATCAAATTGTACAATACTATTTATTTAAAAATTTATTCTTTTCCTATTTTAATTGTTTAGTGCCTTTAAGAAAAAGAAATTAGCTTTATAAATGTGGTATTTTCTAGACTCTTTTTTTTTCCATTGATTGATTTTTCTATCTCTATGCATATAATATATATTTTTGATTACTAAGGCTATATAAAGGTTTGGGTGTTCTTTTAAATATTTTTTTTTTTGGGGGGATAGAAGAGGGGAGGAAGAGAGGGAGAAAACACTGACATGTGAGAAATACATCGATCAGTTGCCTCTGGCATGCCCCCAGCTGCCAGACTATAGTTCAGACTAGAACTATACCACAAGGTTCTCCTAGGTCTCTAGCTTGTAACACAGGCTTGTGCCCTGACTGGGAATTGAACCAGTGATCCTTTGGTTCACAGGCCAGCACTCAGTCCACTGAGCCGTCCCAGCCAGGGCCAGTTTTAAAATCAGGTAGTGTGAGTCTCCTTACTACTTTTTTTCAAGATTACATAGACTATTTAGGCCTCTTGCATTTGCATATACATTTTAAATTTTGTCCATTTCTACTAAAAAGCCTTATAGATGTTTACTGAACTTATAGATCATTTGTAAAGAATTGATATCTTATAATTTTTTTTATTGTTGACACTCTTACAGATGTCCCCATTTTCCCCTTTTGCCCACATCCACCCAGCCCCCACCCCCATTCCCTCCAGCCATCAGCACAGAGTTGTATGAGTCTATGGGATATACATATATGTTTTTTGGTTAATCCCTTCACTTTATTTTATTCAGTCCCTCCCCCATCCACCTTGCCACTGATAGCTATCACTCTGTTCTATGTATCCATGCCTCTGTTTCTATTTTGTTCACCAGTTTGTTCATTAGATTCCACATTTAAGTGAGATCATACAGTATTTAGCTTTCTCTGACTGGATTATTTCACTAGCATAATGATCTCCAGATCCATCCATGCTGTAGCAAAAGGTAAAAGAGTTCCTTCTTTTTTATGGCCATGTAATAGTCCATTGTGTAAACATACCACAGCTTTTTCATCCATTTGTGAGGTCTTGTAATTTGAGTCTTTCTACTCATGGATCTCTACTATTAAGAAATAACTCTAGCCTAGGCTGGTGTGGCTCAGTGGATTGAGCCTGCTTGCGAACCCAAGGGTCGCCTGTTCGATTCCCAGTCAGGGCATATGTTTGGGTTGTGGGCCAGGTCACCAGTTAGGGGTGTGTAAGAGGCAATCGAACATGGATGCATTTCTCCCTCTCTTTTTCCTTCCCTTCCCCTTTCTCTAAAAATAAAAGTAAATAAAATCTAAAAAAAAAAGAAATAGCTCTGTTATCTTTTTGGTATGAATTATTTCTGTTATAATGTTAGCTGTCAATCTGTTTTTCTTTTGTAGATAATCTTATAATTCACTAATTCTCTCTTTTTTGAGGTCCAATCCAGTGTTTATTTCAATGATAATATTTTTTATTTCCAGAATTTCTCATAGACTCATTTGCATATCCACCTGCCCTCTAATAAAATTTGATTACTTTTGTTTTCTAATTTTCTTTTTCTATGTCTTTGAGGATCTTATAATACAGGTGGCTGCAGCTTTCTTTTTTTTTAATTTTGTTATGTCCTGGTCCCAGTTGTGCAATTGTCTGTGTCCAGTTCCTCAACACAAGCAGGGCGCTTTCATTCCCCAACACTCTACAGGCTTTCTACTCTGGACTTTTAGTTCACCCAGTATCTCTTTGACATAAATCTTCCCTTGATTTCTTCCCCACCTCTACTCACACAAAAACAAAACATTTCTTTGTTTTCTACTACCATTCACCATGTTTTTGTATTCAGCTATACTTCTTTGATATGAAAAAAAAATGCACTTGTCATTGCTATGTATTTTTTGTGTATTTGTATGTAGTGTAATATAGTGAAAAAGGGAATTAATGTCAAAGCATTAATCTCACAGAACCATTTTGATTAATAATCTACCCAAACTGTTTTCATTCATTTTTAGAAATATAACAATTAAATGTAATACCACTTCCTTTATCCTGGCATTTCTTGGCACTTTTGTATTTCTCATTCTTGTTCCAAATAGCCACTCAACAATATGAGAATGTGCTAGTAGGTAATATGTATGGTGTTAGTAAACTGATGTACTGATTTTCCTATGGCAATCTCCATGACATTCTGGCAGAGAAGTCTCTATTGAAATGCGAGAAACTATTTGTATGGTGATTATTTCAAATCTATATTCTACAAATATTCTCATAAATACATTACTTTAGCTATTGCCCTAATTTTGCTCCTATATCAAGAAAACTTCGCTCATGAGAATGATGAATATAACTGTTCTGGATAACACAATACTAGTTTCTATTATAAACTACATTATCTTCTTGTACTAAATTCTATAAGGCAAGCTAAATTATAATCAGTTTTCTTGGTGAAGGTAGAATCTGAGTAAGTAGTATTAATTGGTTGACATAAATGGAAGGTGTCATGAAGTTGGGATCACTTGATGTACCTTGTTTTAACCTGCCACGGAGGCCATATACTTAACTTCTGTCATTGGTCCGGGTACCCTATTGTCTGGTAATTTCTGAAACACTGAAAATTTCTTTTTTGGAGGCTCCATTTCTCTAGACTCTGTATTGGCCCTTCTCCTTTTGTTTACACGGGCTTCCTTCTAACAGCATATAGCACAACTGACTTTAGTAAGGCACAGACAGTTATGCTAGCTAGAGCATACACACTACTCAAAATATTTAGAACTTGATTGTTCCTAAAGCTCTGATAATTTATACTCATTATTTAGAGAGGGTGAGTTCATAATTACTTCTTAATTCTTATCTAGTTTAATCTTCTGAGTTGTAAGGGCATTTTGCTGTTTTGCTCAAGTGTTCTACTCTGAAAATGTTCAAAAATAATTTTATTATGCAATTTCCTGTATAATTTTATTTTAAATACTGTAATATGCTAATATTTTAAAATCTTCCATGTAGAATTAATATTTTAAAGTTATATCACAAACAGAGAAAATATTATTTTAGTACATAGTATTTTAATATTTCAAAAATAAATACAGTTTGATATTTCCATAATCTACACTAATATATGGACTTATTTAAAGTGCCACCTATTAAGTACTGGTGTCTACAACATTTTCTGTAACTTTAAAACACATCTTACCACAAGTTGAACTCTTCCACCATTCAGTACCTCTGGGTCTAACTCAGGCAAGAAATGATCACTGCAATAGTGACAAAAACAGAAATCATATGATTACATAAACTTAGAGAAAGAACATAAAATAAATGCCTAATTAAAAGTTTGGAGTAATCCATAATTTACAAATTGGGACTATTAGTTTTCTTTTTTTTTTTAATTTTATTTTATTTTTTCAAATACGTTTGTCTCTGCCTCCCCCCCAACCACTTTCCCTTGCCCCCTCCCTCCTTCACTCCCTCAGCTCTTCCCCTTTGGTTTTGTTTATGAGTCCTTGCTCTATGTTCCTTGACTTTCCCCTTCCCTTTCTTTCCCTGCCCGCCCTTCCCTCCTCCCTCTTGTCTCTGTTGATGTCTTTTCCTTTCAGTGTTGCTGGTCTTATTTTCCTTGCATCTTTGTATTGTTGGTTAGGTTCCACTTATAGGTGAGATCATATGGTATTTGTCTTTCGCCCCCTGGCTTATTTCGCTTAGCATAATGCTCTCGAGTTCCATCCATGCTGTCGCGAAGTTTAGTAGTTCTTTTTTCCTTTCTGCTGCGTAGTATTCCATTGTGTATATGTACCATAACTTAAAGTTTACATGCAAAGGTATATGCAAATATACAAGTTTCCATAGTTATTTTAAATTCAATTTGACTTAACATTTAAATTTCTAAACAAAACTTTAATACTTCCTTTCTTTGCCAAACATAAACACATTAAATAAACAAAAATTTGAAAGAAACAAGAATAACTAATAACATAAAAATATAAATATTTACATTTATGTGCATGTCTTAAGAGTAAAGCAAAGCTTCCTATTATTAAAATAGTTTTAGTGTATTTAATACATTATACTAATGTTCATAATTAACTTCTGTTTAAAACAGAACATTAACATTTGACTTTTCAAGAACTTCCATTCTTGAAAATATTATTCCTTAAAATGCTATGTATTCCTTTATATATTATATTTCAAAAGAAAATCCATGAAATATTGCCTCTTGTACCTTATATTTAAATATAATTTACTATGAGTAAGAGACATTGTTAAATGTGTCAGCTTATTTAAACTATGTCCTGAATTGTGGGGGACCACTTTGCATGTTATCGGGAATCGAAGCCCCTGCATGAGCCAAGTCTTGAAAGGGGCCTGTAAGCCTAGACCAGAAAACTGGGAATGCTGAAGGCAGGCATGATCCGCTGCTAACACCGAGGGTTCCGGTGGGAAATCTGGCCTAAAGAATGCATTGTATCCACTGCAGATTGCTCTGCTTTGCACTGCCCTGATAAGGAAAAACCACATATTTAAACTGCAAAGAGGAAGAGTGAATTCCTGCATTCAGGAGCCATGCCTTAACCACCATCTATCATCTGACATCAGCATGTCTAACAGACCCTGACCTGAGGCAATCTCTGTGTTCTTAAAATTGTTATCTATGATCTCTATATGTTTTCTGTAAATATAGCCTTTAGACTATATTTATTGATTGATAAACTTTGCATGCATGCTGTATATCCTTCTCAATAAAAGCCACCTCAGAAAAGGGGTCGGGGCATTCTCCTCTAGAGAAAATCGCCTTCCCTTTTTCTTGACATCACTTGGTGTCTGGAACGACTCTATTTCATCCGCGGTGAATCAGAGGACTTTGTGGGACGGGGTATATTATTTTTTTATTTTTCACATTATCTATACTAAGCTTTAAAATCTCTGAACCAGACCACCTGTATCTGGTTAATATAGATGGTAAGCTATGGGTTATATTATATTTCTTTATAGTTCTAAGGATTTTATCTTATGAATTACACTATATTGATATCAATATAAAATAAATTTTGTTTGCATTAATTAGAATACTTGGTAAAATAAAAAATTCTTAGATGTTGATTGCTTTACTACTACTTTCTCTGCTTACAACCAAATGGGACATAACAATTCATATTTCAAGATGTTTTAATTTTATTTTTATCCTTTACTTTCTTTTCCATAATTTAAAAGCATTACATGATAAAACTGAACACATATGAAGGCTTTAGTTCATATATATTACATTATTAAAAAACTTGATTTTTTTATACATAAATTAAGTTTTAACTCTTATAACTATAGGATTTTATTTGTCACTCATTTAGTTATTACCCACAATACTTGAAAACATTTCCAAATTGTCATCTATGTGTAGATTCCATATCAGTTTATATATTTAATAAAATATTAAAATAATCCATTTTTAATTTTTTTGTAGATATATATGGCTAAAATGAGAGTCCTGAAATTTTATGTTAAAAATATTATTTCTGGGATTTTATTTCCTTAAAACTTTGATTCACTGGTTTTGCACATATTTGCTTACTATTACACTGTTGTTGGCTGATATTTTTCCCCCTTAAAATTCTTATCTTGAAGTCCTAACACTCAATACCTCAAAATTTGAATATATATGGAAATAGGGTCGTCAAAGATGTAATGCATGTAGAATGAGGTCATATGGGTGGGCCCACTAATCCAATATGACTGGTGTTCTTATAAGAAGAGGAACGTAGAACAGAGACAACACAGATGAGGGATGATCATGTGAGGACACAATCAGAAGGTGGCCACCTGCAAGTCAAGGGGAGAGACCTCCAAAGAAACCAAACGTACCGACGCTTTGATCTGGGATTTGTAGTCTCTAGGACTGTGAGAAAATAAACCTCTGCTATTTAAGCCAATCTGTGGTATTTAGTTACGGCAACCCTAGCAAACTAATACATACATTAATATAACTAAAATTAATTGACCCTGTTTGTTGCTAAATAAAACACTTAATATCCTCAACATTATCAGCTCATCTCTATTTGGTGAGATAGTAAAATATCATCTCACTATAAAGGAGACAAAACAGCATTAAGACATTAAAAATCAGTTACATGACTGGTAAAGTGGCAGCATCAGGGGTGAATTATAATTTTAACTGCCAAACATAAATGATAAAAATAATACAAAATAAAATACAAGTTGCCATACATATAGTATTTATAAACAATTAATAAATATCATGCATTTTACTTCATAAAGTAGAATCATTTGTGTAGTTCATCTATTGTCATTAACCATTACAGAAACAGAATTCTCAAACATTTTAAAAAGAAAAATATAAAGTGATTAAATCTATTCTATAAAAGAGGACTTTTTTATAATTTCCCATTGTGGTAATTGGACTTTGGCTATAAAGTCACGTATGTTTTAGCACAATTAACCTAGGTTTAACTTTTCAAGATATGTTTACAATACAAAAATTGAATTTAAAGGAAATGATCTCACCATTTCATATTTCTAGAACTAGTTGTTTCATGAACTCCAACCTGTGTATGAAGCCACTGATATGTATATTCTTTACTCCTTTCTAATTTTTCAGGTGCCATGGTATCCTTGTAGATAAATTCCTTTTCCTTACCTGGGAAAGAAGTAAGAAAATCTTATTTTTTATTTAAAGATACCAGGCTTGTCCAAAGAGTTCAGTTTAGGGTAATAATTTTATCACAAGAAAGAAAAAGAAAAGCACTAATTCATGGAAGTTAAATCATCTATAAGAAAAATGTCAGTCACTTACAGATAAAATACTTCTGTTTAAGTTTCAAACCCACTTATTTTGAAAAATGAAGGAAATGTTTTAATGTAACCAACATTTTATAAGATTTTTTTTAAATTTTTATATTTAACAAATTCAAAGAATTATTTTGGTAGACATTAAAATTCTAGTATAAAAAGAATACTTGTCCACTATGATGTCTTTTCAGGCTTAGTTTAATGTCCGATTGTTCTTATACCAGTTTTAGCCACATGCAGAGTTTATAAATATACTGAAGGTACTTAAAGCAGAATTTCAATTTTATATAAAATTAAGCGTGTTTGTGTAAGATAATGTAATATTTTAGGTTAGGAATGCAGTTTTTGTCAGGATTGTATGTGCTTATGCCATAGTAGCTATTTCAGAGGTCGAAGGGGCAACTATAACAAGAAAGATGTTATGAAAAATATGAAAAGGAGAAATTATATAAGGTAAAGATACAAGATACCAAATGTAAAAGAAAATAGTTAAAAAAGAAATATCCAATTCTTATATTCAAATGTGAAATATAATATATATATATATATACACATACATATTTTTAAAAAAATTTACAGACACTACTGCCACATCACTGCCATGTGTTTCAGAGTTACATTGAAGGCTTGTTGTTTTACAACCTTCTGCCATGAACTTGATTTTTCAGGCTGGTTCATTTATGGTGCCATCACGGTGCTTTGGGACTTAGTTTTGTAGGTTTGATAGAGAGAACACCAGAGAGATATACTTCTTGAAAACTAGCTCACGGTAATCAAACTCACAAGAACGTTGTAATTTAAAACCTGGTATTTAAAAAGTCAATTTATTCATGTGAAATATTCTTTCGCCATAGATTCTCATACATAGCAAGTCACCTTATATTTGCAAGTTGTTAGGAAAACAAATGAGGCATGGTGCAAAACCTGTTTTCAATACTTAATGCATGAGCTCACACATTCACACATGTACACACAAGCATAACACATATCATTCTGAATATGTTGTGAATATATCTATCATGGTTTTTTTTCCTTAAAAGTTGCTGTTACAGTTAGTGAAACAGCTCTAGCTTTCTATAAGGAAATTGTTGGATGACTTCAAAAAAGATATAGACAGCAACACACTGATAGCAGGGGATTTCAACACCCCACTGTCAAAAATGGACAGATCTTCCAAACAAAACATTAATAAACATATTGTGGCGCTGAATGACACACTGAATCAAAGAGACTTAACTGACATATTTAGAACCTTACATCCCAAAGAAGAAAAATACACATTCTTTTCAAATGCTCATGGCAGTTTTTCAAAGATAGAACACATAATAGGACACAAAGAAAACCCCAGTAAATTCAGGAAAATGGAGATAATACCAAACTTTTTCTCGGACCACAGGGGATTGAAACTGGAAGTCAACCTCAAAGAGAAACTTCAAAAACTTGCAAACTCATGGAGACTGAACAGTACACTTTTAAACAATGAATGGGTCAATAATGAGATAAGAGAAGACATCAAAAAATTTCTGGAAACAAATGAAAATGAACAGACAACATCTAAAACCTATGGGACACAGCAAAGGCGGTCCCGAGAGGGAAGTTCATAGCAACACAGGCTTACCTAAAAAAGATAGAAACATTTCAAATAAAAGACCTAACACTACAACTTCAAGAACTGGAGAAACAACAACAAATAAATCCCAGAGCAAGCAGAAGGACGGAAATAGTCAAGATAGGAGCAGAACTGAATGACATAGAGACAAAAAGAACAATTCAGAGGATCAACCAATCCAGGAGCTGGTTCTTTGAAAAGATAAATAAAATTGACAAGGCTTTAAGCCGACTCATCAAGAAAAAAAGGGAGAGGACCCAAATTCATAATATCAGAAATGAAAGAGGAGAAATAACAACTGACACCACAGAAATACAAAGGATCGTCAGAAACTACTATGAACAATTATATGCCAAGAAATTTGAAAATCTTGATGAAATGGACAAATTTTTAGAAAAGTATAATCTTCCAACACTGAAGGAGGAAGAAACAGAAAGCTTGAACAGACCAATAACTGGGGAAATTGAAGCGGTAATCAAGAAACTCCCGGCACACAAAAGCCCAGGGCCGGGCGGTTTCACAGGAGAATTTTACAAAACATTTAAGGAAGAGCTAACCCCTGTCCTTCTCAGACTATTCCAAAAAATCCAAGAGGAGGGAAGACTCCCAGACTCTTTCTATGAGGCCAGCATCACCCTGATCCCAAAACCAGATAAAGACCCTACAAAGAAAGAAAACTACAGGCCAATTTTGTTGATGAACATAGATGCTAAAATCCTCAACAAAATATTCGCAAACCGCATCCAGCAATACATTAACAAGATTATCCACCACGATCAAGTGGGATTCATCCCAGGCATGCAGGGATGGTTCAATATACGCAAATCAGTAAATGTGATACATCACATAAATAAAAGACAAGACAAAAATCACATGATCATCTCGATAGATGCAGAAAAAGCATTCGATAAGGTACAGCACCCATTTATGATCAAAACACTCAGCAAAATGGGAATAAATGGGGCATTCCTCGACGTAAAAAAGGCCATATATGAAAAACCTACAGCCAATATCATACACAACGGGCAAAAACTGAAAGCTTTCCCACTAAGATCGGGAACACGACAAGGATGTCCGCTCTCACTGCTTCTTTTCAACATCGTATTGGAAGTCCTAGCCACAGCGGTCAGACAAGAGAAAGAGATAAAAGGCATCCAAATAGGAAAGGAGGAAGTAAAGCTATCACTGTTCGCAGATGACATGATAGTGTACATAGAGAACCCTGTAGACTCTACCAAAAAACTCCTCAACCTAATAAGTGAATTTGGCAAAACAGCAGGATACAAAGTCAACATTCAGAAATCAAAGGCGTTTTTGTACACCAGCAATGCAATAGAAGAAGAAGAAATCAGAGAAAATATACCATTCAATATAGCAAGAAGAAAAATAAAGTACCTAGGCATAAATTTAACCAAAGACATAAAAGACCTGTATGCAGAAAACTATACAACATTGAAAAAAGAAATTAAGGAAGACACAAATAAATGGAAGCATATACTGTGCTCATGGATTGGAAGAATTAATATCATCAAAATATCCATACTACCCAAAGCAATGTATAGATTCAACACAATCCTTATTAAGATACCAATGACATATTTCACAGAAATAGAATAGACATTTCAAAAATTTATATGGAATCATAAATGACTCCCAGCAATTTTGAGAAAGAGAAACAAAGTAGGAGGGATCACAATACCAGACATCAAACTCTACTACAAAGCCGCTATACTCAAAACAATCTGGTACTGGCACAAGAACAGACCCATAGACCAGTGGAACAGAATAGAAAGCCCAGAAATAAGCCCAGGTCTCTATGGACATCTAATATTTGACAAAGGGGGCAGAAGCATTAAATGGAGCAATAATAGCCTCTTCAACAAATGGTGTTGGGAGAGCTGGACGGCTACATGCAAAAAATTGAAATTGGATCATCAGCTGACACCATACACAAAAATTAACTCAAGATGGATAAAAGACTTAAATATAAGTCGCAACACCATCAAAGTCCTAGAGGAGAACATTGGCAGGAAACTCTCAGATATCCCACGCAGCAATTTTTTCACCGATATGTCTACTAAAGCAAGGGACATAAAGGAAAGAATAAACAAGTGGGACCTCATCAAAATAAGAAGCTTCTGCATGGCAAAAGAAAACATCAGCAAAATGAAAAGGGAGCCAACCATATGGGAAAATATATTCGCTAATGATACATCAGATAGAGGTTTGATCTCCAAGATATATATAGAACTCACTCGACTCCACTCCAAGAAGACAAACGATCCAATCAGAAAATGGGCAAAGGACCTGGGCAGACGCTTTTCCAAGGAGGAGATACAGAGGGCCCAGAGGCATTTGAAAGGATGCTCAGCATCACTAGCCATCAGAGAAATGCAGATCAATACCACCATGAGGTACCACCTCACACCGGTCAGAATGGCCATCATAAACAGATCCACAAACAACAGGTGCTGGCGAGGCTGTGGAGAAAAGGGAACCCTAGTACTGTTGGTGGAAAGGCAGACTGGTGCAGCCACTGTGGAAAGCAGTGTGGAATTTCCTCAAAAAGCTGATAATGGAACTGCCTTTTGATCCAGTGATTCCCCAGCTGGGACTATACCCTAAGAATCCCAAAACGCCAGTACAAAAGAACCTATGCACCCCAATGTTCATAGCAGCACAATTTACAATAGCCAAGTGTTGGAAGCAACCTAAGTGCCCATCAGTAGATGATTGGATCAAAAAGTCATGGTACATATACACAATGGAATACTACGCAGCAGAAAGAAAAAAAGAACTACTAAACTTTGCGACAGCATAGATGGAACTCGAGAGCATTATGCTAAGCGAAGTAAGCCAGGGGGTGAAAGACAAATACCATGTGATCTCACCTATAAGTGGAACCTAACCAACAATACAAAGATGCAAGGAAAATAAGACCAGCCACACTGAAAGGAAAAGAAATCAACAGAGACAAGAGGAAGGAGGGAAGGGCGGGCAGGGAAAGGGAAGGGAAGGGGAAAGTCAAGGAACATATAGCAAGGACTCATGGACAAAACCAAAGGGGAAGAGCTGAGGGAGGGAAGGAGGGAGGGGGCAAGGGAAAGTGGTGGGGGGTAGGCAGAGACAAATGTATTTGAAAAAATAAGTTAAAATAAAATAAAAAAAAAACAGATAATGGAGAAAGTTATCCAGAAAGCTAGAAATGAGAATGTTTATTTCTCTAAATTGTAAGCTAG